GTATTTCTTGATAGAGTCATGATAAAGTATTTCATTAACTCTGTCCGAATGACGCTTCCTCATTAGGTTGCAGAACCATGTCAAATGGCATGATTGACTTATCCGGCTGTTTTAGGTCTATTGTTTGGCCATCTTACTTCCATTGAACTAGACCATATAAAAGGCCGCACCATCTTGGTCTTCATAACTTCGATGAAATGTTTATGTTAAGGATAATCGAACGTAACTAGCAGATTCTACTGTAGAAGAGAGGCGTTAACACGCTTATGCTGAGAGAGTCATCTCCAGAAGGTTGTCATTGCCATCATTCATTGTCTTGGTTGCTAAGCTCCTTGCTTAAATTACTTTCCACTCTGCCTCCTATCGCAGAGGCAATAAATGAGAATTGCACGTAGGGGTGCTGATCGCCCGAGTGAAGAAGCACTCGAAGTCGGGGAATGTGACTAGATGGTCGGTTGTTTTAACAATAGTTGGTTAACAGTAGCAGTGCATGAGTAAGGATTAGGGAAGAAGTTGTTGGGACCTAGATGAGTTGTCGCATAACAAAACTAATCAGAGTAGCGAGAAAGAGATGTGGTGGATTTGCTGCTTAATTTTTCTGTAAAGGATCCTCTTAAAATTGTAAATGGTCTTTGATGATATAAGTATCATCATCAGGGCACGCACATCTTGTATGAGCACATACTACGCCCCTCGGTCGGTTGCCATAGGGACGCTGGTATCGTAGAACCAATGACTATTTTCGATGCAAACTCTCCTCTATTTTCTACCCAACCATTTGAAGCTCACAGTACTGAGGTTGGTTGATTCGATCTTTCACCCACACAGCTTGTCCAAACTGTGACTCACCTTCATCCATAGTTGCATTGCATACCTCATCTACTTTCTTCACCTTTAGCCTTGTTAAGTGTTTATGGACGAGTTTTCCATTTCTTGAAAATTGGCAATATCCTCACCCTGTTGACCTTGCCTACATCCCTTCTTCATTTTCTTCTTCACTATATCGCCTCTCCTCCACGCTTGGCGAGTCCAGCTCCCCGGCTGCACAAAGCGTTATTCCCGCTTGGAGAACCTGAAAACCCACCTGCGTTCACACACTGGTGAGAAGCCCTACCAATGCGAGATACCCGGCTGCAAGAAGGCGTTCAGCAATGCCTCGGACCGAGCTAAGCACCAGAATCGAACGCATAGCAACGAGAAACCATACGTTTGCAAGGTGGATGGCTGCTCAAAGCGATACACCGATCCGAGCTCCCTTAGGAAACACGTGAAGACGGTTCATGGGGCAGAAGTGAGTTGATAAAATGCGATTTTTTATAAGAGTAAAATTTCAGTTAAGTAAATAATGCACATATATTTACAACCACACTGAATTCGCTTTGAGATACCTTGGCCTGATACCAACTGGGAGTTCGAATCTGCTTCAGCTGCTGAAATAGATGTTACGAACCGCCTTTTATCAGTTAACCGAGCTAGGCATAACACAGTTTCAACCCTGAGTTTTCATTCATTTCAGGTCTATCTTGATCCCTTGCATGTTACCCAACTTTGACCGAGTGGGAGCAGAGCCATGCTTTCCACCCTATCCGATTGAGCTATTTTTATGGCATGTTCCCGCTTTTAGCAGACCTCTCGCGGTCACCGTGCTAGCAACGGTTCAGGCTTGCCTCCAGTTCTGGCCAGTTTGACATCGGAGGCAGAAGAGTCAGTCTACTTATAAATGTGCTGAAAACACTTCTCGCGCTATGGATTGCTGCGCATTTAATGATATAAACACACTAATTTGAAGAATATCCGCACCAACTATACGAACGATGATAGACTAATAGAGGGTCCGACTAGCTAAGAGAAGGAATACTGCATTGCTTAATTCATTAAAGTTAATTTGTAAGGATACAAATACTTTCCATCACAGGGCAGTTTACCATCGACCACTTCTTTTTACGGGACATGCTGCAAATCCGAAGTTGTCAAAGCCTTAGCCTACATAAGCCTATAGCTGTGGGGACCAGGGTGTGTCTGAGCCTGCAGATTATCTTGGACGCCACCCTTGTGACCAGCATCAGCACGAGATTCGGTTATTATGCCCTCCGCTAGTTTACTTTTCATCGAAATGAGCAGTTTCTGCGCCTGCTCCACCACTCGAGTGGCAAGCCTTCTGGGAGTGAGTAGGCAAAGTATTCTGGAAGGGGGTAATCGAGATGGTGTCAGTGCATTGAAGTAGAACTTGTTCTGCAGCTGGATTGATGTTCAAGCTTCTATTTTGGCTCATCATGCCTACATGAGACACGCGCAGACGATTTAATTGTGAATTTTTTGAGTCAGTTTCTTATCGGTTGTCACGCGCTAGCAATTACTTGCAGATGGGACAAAAATATGAAATGAAGGTGGGGTACAAACCCACTCAGGATCTTACAGAATATATTCACGAGAAGAAGATTTGAGGACCATTTAATCTCGGTCGATCAGAGTTTTGTTACCCTGATTACTACACAAAGTTCTTTGTCCCCCTCTGCACAAGCATACATTGAAAGTCCGGATATGTAGGATCAGGTGCTGTTTGTGTGTTTGTGTGCGCACACAATGCAATTTTCATTTTAATGTGATGTACACTGGGTTTTCGACTATAAGTACAGTATGATAAATTAATTAATGTATTGATCAACTGCTATATTTGGTTGTTCATGCTTTTTTCACCATGACAAATACTTAGTATCTTTGATTCTTTCGTTCGTCTTATCTCTGCCTGTGCCTTTTCGGGTTGCTCTTACTTGCCTTCG